TAAAGCCATGCACGTCAAGTCCTCGGACCCCGCTTTGGTGTTGGCGGCCGCTGCCTGCCCGCGCTCTCCGGGCTGCCGCCAGGAGCTGCTCAGCCGCGCTGGGAGCGCGTCCCCGTTTGCATTTCTCAGCTGCGAGGTGCTGGCGAGAGGCTCTGCTTTCCCCTCTTCTTCCTCCCGCTGCTCAGCAGCCCTGGGCAGCTTTGCGATGTTCCTTCCGCCTGCCTGAGCGGTCCCGGTCCCTGGAGACGTCCCTTCCCGGAGCTGTGATTGCAAATGGTGCCACGTCTCGCTCGGCCTGGCTGCCGGTGAGTGCGCGGCGGTGGCGGTCTCTGCGGAGGTGACGGCGAGGTGCCGGCTGCCGGGAGCAGCCCTCGGCCCCGTGCCCGCTGCTGTCGTAGAGCCCCGCGTCCCGACAGCGTCCTGCCTTCGCAGCCGGGGAAAGCTGAGCCGCGTCGGGTTTCTCAGCTGGCAGAGGATGAGTGCTTCGCTAGGTGTTTTAAAAATAGAAGTCTCAGCCCGCAGGCGGCATCGTGAGGGTTGTGCGAGGGGGTAGCGCTGCTGGAGAGCTGGCGTTTTCTGGGGAGGGCCATCGCCTCGCGACGCCCTTCCTAGAAGCGCTCCCCAAACTTCTCTCTGTCTTGTGTGCTCACGCATCTGTGCTTCTCTTCCCAACCTTGTCCGTGCCGAGAACCGCGTGAGCGTGTCGGCGCAGCTCCGGCCACAGCCCTGGGAGGCCGCCGTACCTGAGCTCCTGCAGCAGCGGCGAGGGCCGTGCTCGTGCCCCGAAGCCATCAACGTCTCGCTGCCTTCAGTGGCTGAAGAATGGCTGCAAGCACTGCGAAGACGGCGCAGGCGTGAGCGTTAGAGTCTGCAGTGTGTCGGGGACCCATCTACCCCCTCAAAGCGGGGCGCTGAAGGGACCTTCCCCCTGCAGCCCGGAAAGGTGCAGGCGGCTGGACCCTGGCACGGGGGTGGTGTTCCAGGCACCCCAGAAAACAGAGCCCTGCCCAAGTGTGGAAAGTAAAAATCTGCGTAGTCCTTGATAGATTAAACATAAAACCAGCAGCAAACCGGGTCAAAACTGAAAGAGGGAGCACAGGGCATCCGCTTCCCAAGGTAGAGCCCCAGGTCTGGGGGGATGCCCTCTTCCCGACGCAAGGGAGAAGCCTCCCAGGGAGCCCTTGGGGCTGGCAGGCCATCGGGGAATGAAATCTGCTCAGAAAGGCAAAGGCTGCAGGAGACAAAGCCGGAGGCTGCCTGGTTTTACTCGGAAGA